CACAGCAGGCCAAGCAGCATCAGAGGAGCAGGAAAGCTGACATTTCGAGCCTAGACCCTTCTTCAGAAATGAAAATGTCTGACGTCTTTCTGAAGAAGGGTCTAGCCCGAAACGTCAGCTTTCCTGCTCCTCTGATGCTGCTTGGCCTGCTGTGTTCATCCAGCTCTACACCTTGTTATCTCAACTACATCAATGGCCAAGATTTTACACTTACAGTATTTTAAGGATAGCAGCGTTTACCATTAATGAACAGTAAATGGGATTGCAATTTCCAGCATCTGCAGAGGTTTCAGTTAAATGCACAAGTTATAAAATTGCCATCATATTTGCTCTTCTCCTCTAGAAGCTTCATGACAGGTGCTTCCAAAAGTCAACATTCAAGTAAATGGAAGGGAATGAAGCTGTGATAATTATCCACCACATGTGTGAGAAAGAGGAAATGCTCAATTTTTCAAATGTAAGTAGACTTTAAAGAGTGTGTTGACGTTTCATTTAATGACTTTCAAATAAACTCCATTATACTAATTTATTTTTCAAAGCGTGGAGCCTAATTACTTAACAATTTAGTTCTTGTTAGGAAATTTACATTAAAATCTCAAACATTTTCTTTCTCTCTCTTGTATTTCTCTCTGGATCCCATCTTTCTCACCCCACCTTTCCATTTTACTGGATGCATATTGTTCTATCGATATTCAATTTACACTTCCGGGTTTAGATTCTGTGCCTCTCCCTATGGATTCAACAATCTCACTGAGCACATCATTGTTTGCCCTTTGCACAGACTTTTCATATCCCCTGCAGAGAAAGGCTTGTTGTTTTGGCTCGCTAATAACTGCAGTTATTAAATTATAGTAAAAAGGCCCACAGACATTCTTACAGGCAAATGTTAAGCATAATGAAAGCCATGTGCTGTTTATTCACTCCAAACCACCTCCTAACAAAATGCAGACCATGATTTTATTTTCATAGCTCTGACTCCTGATTAAAATCCATCTTGATAGCATTATCTGCATTGGGGTCAGTTTCTAAAGCATTGGCAATTAATAAGGACATTGGTGATCTGGTAACAGAGTGGGCAGGTATGTGATCAGGATCACTCACAAACACAATTGCAAGAACAGAACTGAGATGGTGTCACGTGAGAACTGGATGGCAAAGATGACCGCCAGTGTAAAATCACCTTGGAGAAAGGCAAAATAGTGCAAATGCTGGAAATACGAAATAAAACACAAAACATTGGAAACATAGCCTTGCTCTCTCAAGAAAAAAACGGTCCTGTGGATGATAACTTTTGATATAAGTGGTGATCATCGGGAGAAATATTTGCTATTTTAATGTCAAAACTTTTCAACATTGACAAAAAGCATAAATACATTTAAATTAAAATCCATTCAGCTTGGCTCACTTCAGCACTGCTGTTATGACAAAATTAAGTTGCAGCTGATTTACTGTTTGTTTCACACACTGCATGCTGAGTGTGCAGGTCGAGAAAGAGGTAACATTATTGATGAAGTTCTACAGAAAGCAGCTCAAAATTCACCTTGACTGAGTCCCGTGTCATGTCTACATTTGGATTATTCCTTCTTTAAATTAATGTTATTTTCAGAGCTTAAGTGAGATTGACACATCTTCAATCTATTATATTCATACTTCACAAATACATCTGTAAACACAGTTAACTACAGGTTGAATTATGATCTTGGGCTAATAAAAAAAACCCATGATGTGTGAAGTATGGCTATACACGCATAACCAAGGTCACTGTATGGCTGGACCATATGACTATAGATTATATGTTCAACAGATATCAGTTGTAATTATTTCAATCACATTAAGTTGCATGAAGCATAATAATGAAACAATTTAAATCAACAGCATATTACTACTATGGTATATACAAAGTATTCCATTGCCTGAGGCTTAAAATATTGGAGATTACTTACGGCATAGCAATAAGTTTACATGAAAGTTACATATTCTTTTGGAAAACATTGACTGCTAATCTGTGCTTAATATACAGATAGCAGAGGGCTTGCTTATTCCATGGCTGTAATTTCAACCCAATGAGAGCGCAAGAGACAGGCACTAGACGAGACAGCGTGAGACAGGCAGAAAGGCAGAGTCAGAAAGCGAGAAAAAGACAGGGAAAAAGACAGAAACAACTGGGGAGATGGCAACAACTCTAAAAATGTCTCCAATTGATGATGCAAGAGTGGAGTAATTTTCTTACTGGATTTACAATCCTAAAATCTGGGGTTTAAGTTTATCTTAAATAAATGCAATTGTTAAGTATAAGAAAGCAGTAAGGGTCTGAGACCACAGTTGGCCAGAATATTAAGCCTATTATATTTTTAACATTCTGAGGTCCGTTTTTTGCATAATGCATGTGTTTACAATGTGCCAGTCATTAACTGAAGCACAAGAACATACAAAGCTCTTACATGCCCAATTCTAAAATACTGAAAATTAGAGCAATGTTGTGACTTATTCAGGAGACAGCAGTCACTGTCTCAGCTTTAAAATGTTCAGATACTAACAGTTCAAAAATATTCAACATGAAATT